CTTTCACATTTTGACTACTTTTGGGCAATAAAGGTATATCTTTCAGTCTTTCTTGTGTTAAACTTCCATATGGTGAGAAGTTGGGATATGCTACCTTCCCTCCTCTATCCGAGAAATAGATTCTGCTTTATACAAATTATGATTGCATTTACTTTTTAAAATCTTTATCTGCACGCGAACCTCAGTAAACCGAGATTATAATCAAACCTTGCTATGTGCTTATTGTTTCATATCCACGTAACAATTTATGTAACAATCTGTATCTTACGAAAATTGCTAGAGAGCGACTTAGTTTTGGCAAAAGTAGCTTTATTAATATTTCACTTGCATACTTCAGTAAATAAGGGAGCAATATTTACTTTGATAATAATTTTCTTTTCACTTTTTCCGTTAAAAATACTTTAAAAAATAGTATTATATGAAGAAAAAAAGTCAATATTAAAGAAGGTTTATTATTTTCTTATCAACAAATTGATTTTTTTTCCATCTCCGAAATTGAATAATCAATAATTCTCAGAAACCAGGCAATCAATATTTTGTTCAGAGCGGTTTGAAATCTGAGACAAAACAAGGTATCTTTAGCGAATAAAATATTCAATAACACCTTCGTGCATTGTTTAGTTTCAGTCTCTAAATCCATTAACTGTAATTTGCTATTTTCACTTATGCAATAAAATATTTGTTTATCTAAGCTGATCCATATTGCTGTGAAAATTCTTTTAAGACTTTAACCTTTATCAAAAGTGTTACATTTCATTGATCCAGAGGAGGGGAAAAGGGCGGAGTCCCTTAAAAATGCTAAAAAAAATGACATTGTGACAAAAAGTGACCTTCGATTTCTGAATTTCTTTTGGACACCGCCCTAGCACGGCATTTATTCTTTAGAACCCCGTGGTTTATATTTTCTTTACTTGGCATAAACGTGATCTCTCTTCATGCCAATTTTACACCGCCATTTTTCAGAAAAACATGGAACGAAAATAATATAATAAGCCCATTTTACTACATTTTAAGTAGTTCAAAGGTGTTTGGCATTTCATGATCCAGTCGAAATAATAGTACAAAAATCTGAAATACTGTTATATGTATGTTTCGTTTTAATGGCAATATATTAAATTCCGTAGTTTTCTGAGAATATTGGAAAAAAATCGTTACTTGTACTACAGTCTTGGCAGTTTTCAAACATGATGTGCACAGGTGTACTTAAAATTTTTGAAAACAATACAATCACATATCATGTTTTTTTTTCTTTTAAATTTTTACAATGACAAAAAGGAATCTTAAATGGAGTTTTTAGTGTAGATTAAAATAAGGAAACTAATTTTACTTTTGTTAAACCTAAAACGAAAATTTTTGGAAGTATTAAACTTGTTACGAATGCCCGTTTGCTAGGAAACGCAAATTTACAGTTTAATTACTTCAAAACTAATTGGAAATTTTTATTAAGTATTACGTATTGTTAATATTTAAAGACTAGCGTACGGATGGTAGCTGTAAAAGTTACTGCTAATTGTTTTCGCTAAAATAAGTTACATAGTACAAAATAAATCAATACATTATTTTAAATTTATTTAAATAGATTAATGGAATAAAAATTTGGCATAAAATAACTTAACGTTCATTTATTTCAATTGCATTAATGGTTACGCTGTAGCTCGTGATAGCTCGCCAACTCTCAGATCTGTCTCTGTAATGATTACCATACCGTTTTTCATACTATATTCCTAGCCTCCACATTTCACTTTCAGTTCGCTTACTTCACTCTTTTATATTGCATATTCCTAGAAATTAAATAACATCACTGTAAAAAAGTGTTTCTCAAAATTCAGCAAATATGTTTTAAAATAACCCCGAAACAAATAATGATGAAAAAATACTAACCCCATTGCATACAAAATTGGAGCAGCATGTACTCATTTGTGAGCAAAATGCATGCCGAGGGCAGAACGTGTGAGAGAGATGTACGTTGACTGCCGGCAGGAGTCGAACCAAAGACCTCCATTTTTGTAGTAGGATATGCTCTTACCTCCATGGTTATACACCCCGGTACAGTGAAAATTAGGAAGCCTTATATAGTAGCCTTCACAATAAAACGTCATGATATGGATTTTGTTCGATTAAAACCTTTTAAGATATAACTAAATAAGCAAAAAGGGAAAATAAAATTACCAATCTCCTGACTAAGCTATTGTTACTTTATTTTCCAAATTGCAACCGTTTATATCATTAAAGTCAGTAATGTCTTGTGGTTTCCATTAGTTCTTCCTAAACTGGGTATCATGGTGGTTAGAGAGTCGTACTAAGAGCACGGAACCCCTGGGTTCGAATCCTGCTGGCAGCCAAACTTCTCTAGCATATATTTTTCTCTCACGCATTTTCCTTAAAAATTAGTTCACCCTGTTTCTGTTAATCGTTTTCGAGGTATTTCGCCACATTTTCCTCAATGTTGGATAACATTTTATTACAGTGATGTATTTTTAATTAATTGTTAATTGTTATTTTATCTGTAAATAATTAGAGAGACTGATTAAGTATTCAAAATAATATCTGAATTTAATATATTAAAAGAAATAAAGAAAACAATCTTTGTTTTCAATATAATTGAGAAATCAAAAATAAAATTCAAATGAAAAAAAAACCTTATTTTGATAATATACGTTAGTACGTTATTTATTTTTCCCGAAGGAAGGCGGTGAAAACGTATTAAATAATTTCAACAATACTACGAAAAGTTAATTCTTAATATTGTTTAAGACTTTTAAATAGATATTCTTCGTTATTTTAATTGTTGACTGAACACAATTTTTCATAAATTTTATTATAAGAATAAATAAAACTTATTGAAACGTAAATACATTTCATTAATCGTTTAAAACTGCATGCAGATCTAATATCTTTCCTAAATGCTGCATAATTAGGTAATATCAAGCGATAATGTTCTTAATTTTTAGTTCTAATGGACAATTAAAATTAAAATTGTAATAACAAAAAAGAGAAAGTAGAGTATCTACCACTACTGAAATATAATTTCAATTCACTAGTATATAAGACATGTTAACTTGATTCAATGGTATATAAGAAAGGACCTCAAGGATACACTTCAAACCAACCGACGGGAGTAGGACTCGATTTTATGGTCGGGGTACCTTTTCATCGATGAAGGTTGACATCGTCGATTAGTGCTATGTCCCCTCAGAGATTAATATTAAAAGGAGATGGTTCATATATAATTTATAGATAAATATCATTTTAGTATTTATACTTGAATCTTTTTGGTTTATTAATGAATTTTCTGTCAAATAAGAATGCATGAAACCAAGACGACAGTTATCGTCTGGTGAGTTTTAGAGGCATAAAAGAAATGATAAATATTATTAATTACACTTTTTAACCAGTAGCGCTAAATCTAGCGTTGATATATTGTAACAGAGTTTTAGTTATCGTCAAATCAAGTATTTTATAATACATTTTAGTTCTGATTTGCTTCAAAAAAAATTCTTTAATTATACAAATGGGTAAGGAGTTTATTACCGGCTTAAAATATATCGGTTTCAGATTTTTGTTCTATTTTACGCTGTAGACTATTATTGTTCGATATAGTTCTCGTGAAAGCGTCTGCAGAATTTCGGGAAATTACATTTCCTTTCGTTTACTCACGTATCAGCAGAATCGATTTTGAAGAATATGCTGTCTACAGTATTCGGAATAGAACAGTACGCTTTATTTCTGAGAAAATTTTGCTGCGATTTGTAATTGAAATAGCTTTTCTTCTTTACAATATTATCAACTGAATTATACGCCTACTTTCCAGAAATGAATTCATGATGTTAAACGTTGCTTCATATCACTATTGAATCCTGTTGATAGAAAATATTATAAATGTTTGTTGGCCGATTTCAAAAGTTAAATAGGAATTTACTCGAACAATCTATGAAATTCAAGAATTTAAACTTTTGTTGTTAATAAGATGATCTGAAAGAGAGTGAATAGGTTGAATCAGAGGTTCCCAAATGTTGTTCCGCGGATTCCTAGGGTTCCGTGGGAGAGTAAAACGGGGTACCGAGACTATTTTTACTTAGTTTTTTAACCCTTTTGAGGTCTGTAATTATAGTCAGATCCAACCAATAATCCATCCTTTACTTATCATTTCGATCACCTATACAAAATTATTTAAAATAAAATGCCAATGAGAGAGAAATGTCAATTTTTTAAGAAAGAAATATATATAATTTTGAAGGGATATACATTTATTAAAAAAGGAAATTTCACATTGAAATTTTCAAATCAAAATAAAATAAATTCGCCTATGGAGATATATATTTCTCTAATAACCATTTTCAATTGTTATAGCAGTTATTTTTATTTTTCATTTTACTCCAAAACAAAAAAAGAAACAAAATTTTAATCTAGATTTAGCTTCAAGACTGCAAATTCATCTGTAGAATATGAAACCAAATTTAAGATTATTAATGATAAGACGATGAAAATATGCCATTCTTCTTGCCACAAACAAGTACAAATGGAAGTACTTGTTTACGTACTTCCATTGCCACAGTTTTGAAAGCTGGTGTTCGGAACCTCTATGAAAATCAAGTTGCATTTTTTCCCACTTTATTCGTAGCACCTTTTTATTATTATAAAAAAAATTTTATTATAATAAAAAAATTTGTCATTCCTCTTTTTAAATAAAGTCTGTAAGTCAATGCAAAAAAATTTTTTTCCCAGCAAATCTTATCATTTTCAAAGATTTAATAATTAACTAAAATATCAAAATCTAGTGGCAAATCTTGAGGAATAACGTGACAAGTGAGTTTTTTAGGTTTAAAAACATGTTTTGAGTGGTTAGCTACTTAAATTTGAATCTTACTCTTTCTGCAAATTCATTAAGGTGATTTTTAGTGGAAAAAGAATGTTTACGCAGAACATAACTTGGAAAAGAATGTTAACATAACTTGGTTAGCTATAAATCCACTTCGTTAATGATTAATCATGCAATTAAGACAGCACATATATCATTGCTAAAAGAACGAACAAAAGAAAAATCGTGGGGAAATGACATCCTTAATCTACCCGATTGCCCAAGAAGCAGTGCTGTAGCTGTCTTTCGTCTTGCTACCAAGCACGATTGCTTATACGCTCATCTTTTCCGTCTTAAAATAGTGGATAATCCTGCCTGCCCCCTCTGCCGCAGTGGTGCGACGATGGATGCTGAACATCTTCTCAACTGTTCAATTCTCGCAAAGAACTGCATCTACTCCCGATACTGGGAGGCCAGAGAACTTTTGTTCAATTTAAGTTCTTGATTTAATTTCTCTGTTTGATGTTTTGCTTTTGTTTTTGTATTTTGCATATTTCATATCTTTCTGTATTTGTATTTTTCTTTTCTTTTGATCACTGTACGGCGTTAGGATAATGTCTATATCTCCTGCTGCATTAGAAATAAAAAAAAAGAATGTTTACGTACTTCCATTGTCACTTTTTCGGAAGTTGGTGTTCGGCAGTTCTATGAATATCACGTATCACCTTTTGCCATAGCATTCGTACATATTTTTTCTTATTATTAAAACTCATAAAAAATGTTAAAAATAACATCAAAAGCTATTGCATATTACAACTTTCGAGTCTTTTTATTGCTATTTTTAAGATAAAATAAATGCATTTGTTAGTAACAATAAACTATCCCGATAATTTCGTTTCCTTCATTTTCTTTCATTCCTTATTTTTCTGTCTTTATTAAAGTGTAGCAAAAAGCTCTAACGAATTTTCTTCAAGCTTGAGCTATCCTCAATTACCAAGTAAATAAATAATAAACTGTGCTACGGATATATTGGAAATGTTAATAGAACCAATAATTCCCATCAAACAAAGTACCGCTCAATATTTTTTATGCTCCATCTTAATAATAACTTGCCTGAAAGGGCAACCACGTGATGAAATATTTATCGTCCGCCTTTCATCGGTACTTGAATGTCGCATTATTTATTCATGTGAGAACTATGCAGCTGTCATTCTAACCTTTTAAATTATGTTTTTCGCCTCAGTACACATTTAGCTTGACCATCGATAACGTCCCATCGTTTTTTCTTTTCAAATACTAACCAAGCAGAACTATATATATAGCGTGAATAATTCTTACTTATACCATTTTTTTGTGCATTAATAATTATCGATGGTGTTTTAATTAATTATTTAATTGATTATTCACCTGAGTATAAGTAGAAGCAGTAAAATATTAAGGTAGAATAATTTTTACGCTTTCCACTTGCTTTCAGTATTAATAATTATCGATGGTGTATTTCACAACAATGTGTTAAAGGCTTTAGAATTTTTTTTCTTATTGCTTCTTATACTCTTACAAGAATACAACTCAACTCATTTTCTAAGGATTGTTCGAAATATTATTGTATTTGATTAAAAACTGACCATTGATTATTCACCTGGGTATAAGTAGAAGCAGTGAAATATAAACGTAGAATAATTTTTACGCTTTCCACTTGCTTTCGGTATTAATAATTATCGATGATGTATTTCACAATAATGTGTTAAAAGTTTTAGATTTTTTTTTCTTATTTCTTCTTATAATTTTACAAGAATACAACTCAGTATATTCTCTAAGCATTGTTCGAAATATTATATTTGCTTTAAAACTGACCATTGATTATTCTCCTGAATATAAGTAGAAGTAGTAAAATATTAACGTAGAACTTAACGTAGAATATTTTTTCAGTATCCCATTTGCTTTGAGTATTAATAATTATCGATGGTATATTTCGCAACAATGTTTTAAAAGTTTTTTTCTTTTATTTTTGCTTAGTTTAATCTTACAAGAAAACAACACATTTTCTATACATTTTTCGAAATATTATATTTGTTTGAAAACCTGACCATTGTTTATTCACCTGATTATAAGCAGAAGTAGTGAAATATTAACGAAGAATAATTTTTACGCGTTCCATTGGCTTTGAGTATTAATAATTATTAATGGTGTATTTCACAACAATGTGTTAAAACTTTTTTTTGCTTCTTATAATCTTACAAGAATACAACTTAAAACACTCTCTATGCATTGTTCTAAAAATTATATTTATTGTTTCGAAACCTGACCATTCAGAAGTTTAAAAGAGTTAACCAATTTAAAAAAAATTTATTTCAGCTAATTATTAAATTTAATAATTTTCACCTTTGTTTTGAGAATCACTTATCCTAAAATGAAAGAACAATTAATACTCAGAACTGTTTTTTGTTCATTCATATTGTTTAGTTCATTCATATATTTATTTAGAAATCATCATATCCTCTACATGCACCTTACTTATGCTTCAATATTTCTGCAGTATAACTTAATTACATTTGTTTGATGATCTTTTTTTACTTGAAAAACATTTCTTTAAAATTAAGTTTTATAATAAACGAAGAACATAATTTTTCCTCTAATCCATAAATATTAAAATCATTTAATAAATAAAAGTAAAGGCGAAGAAAAATTGCGAGAATTAAATGCCGATAAATAATGCTATAACATTATTTATCCTGATATAATATAATGAATGTAATATAATGAATGTAATATAATGGATATAATATAATGGATATACCATAATATATATATATAATATAATGGTTCCAATAACTATGGAACCATTATATTATATCTCGTTTTACAACATAAGTAAGGAAAAACTATCTTCTGACTTTGTCACTCACGTTTTTATTTATTTTTAAATAAACAGTAAATTTTGATTCGCATTTAATATTTATTTACATAAATTTAGAAACTATTTGCATTCTATTTACAAGGTGTATTACAAAACACCGCTTTTTATGTATATTTACTATTTTTTGAAAATGAAGTAAATTTTAATTTTAACGAAAGGGAAACTATTTTAATCAATTACTTTTCTAATTCAAACTAAGCTCCTAAAGAAAACAATAATTTTGATATTATGTAAAAGCAAAATTTTGAGGTTACTTTTTAAGCTTGCAATCATTATTAAACTTTTTAATTTATTCCCTTTTGTCATGCAAATGCAAAAAATTCTTTTTAAAAAATATTTTTCTGTATACTTTTGTATCGTTTGCATAATTTGTCCTGCATAAATTATTTTAAACAAAAAAAAATCAATACTTAATCAATGTGTGCAAATGTTTAGCAGACTGTCCGGTTTCATGAGTTTCATAAGTATTTCTGTGCTACTAACAACTGATAAACGATCGAAGGGTAGCATGCTTACTTCTAAATTGATTTTTCTATTTTTATACCAGTGTCAGCTAAATTTAGACCAAAGTTATAATGAAATTCGGACCAAAGAATAACCTAAATAACAAAAGTTATTCATTTCGTTTTCATTAGAAGTGCCCATCCCCTATCATTTCTATTTATTAAAAAAAAAAAGATTGAAGAGAAACATATTTTGTTTCGCTATTATGAGGTATACGTAAAAAAATGTTTATGCAAACAAATAAAATGCGTGACACCAAAAATTGTGAGTATTTTTCTAATTAAGTTGGCAGTACTTGAGCGAGTAAGATCGTTTGTTGACCTTTCAAAAATATGCTAATACAATACGTACTACAAAAGCTGAATTTTAACAAGAAACTTATTGTCCTAAAATAAGTTTTTCAACAATTTTTTTCTCACTAGTACATTTATTGTTAATGCCTTTTTCTTTCTTTTTTAATTAACATTTGTATTTCTTTTGTAGCCTTATTCAGAATTAGAATTTATAAATTGTAAAAAAAAAATTGGTGTATTGCTGAAAGTATTTTTGGTGTTGAGGTTTACTGAGATGTTTCACAATGCATTCAGGGTTACAATTTTTATTTACATTTCCACTGTTATAGTTTTATTTATTTATTAATTCAATTTTCGTTTATTGACAACACAGGTTTTCATGCCCGTTAGTATCAATTTAATGGCTTAATGTCAAAAACATTTCGTTTAAAACATATCCGTTCGTTTAGTTACATATTTACACCAATTATTTCAACCAATTATTATTTTGCAAATTTTACATAATTTTTTTTCTCGTTTACTAGTATTCTGCATTTAAAATGTGTTTAGTTTACATTAGAGAGCTTGATAGCAGTAACTCTAGTTTACATCAATGCCAAAAATTTTTGCAGCTATGCACCAAAAGTTTTACAGTGTAGTTTTCTTTGTCACTTATTTTTATTGGCTTTATTTCTTATGTTAGAAATTATGTACTATTGTGTCATATTTTTTTAAATATCAAATATATATTTTATTTTCTCAAATCAGAGATTTAAATTTTGTATACATTCAGATTCAGTCAACTGTGCTTCGGAAACGGAATTTAATATCTGGCAACGTTTTTTTTTTTTTTTTTTTTTACAGTTCTAGAGGTTCGCTCAATATTGGCAGTTAAAGTTAAGTGTACTTGAAGCTTTTTAATTTATAATTTAAATGCCATATCATGTAGAGCCGAAAAGCGACGAGTTCACATGGGTGATCAAACTTGTTGACGAGATTCCAGTCATGGAACCTCACCTTTTTTCGAATCTTTTAATTCATACATTTTTTCAATATTGCATACAATATTGAAAAGATCTTAAGAGCTAAGATCTTAATAGCTAAACAGTAAGTATCTTTGACTTTAACAAACACGTATACAGTCTATTACACCGATCAATGGGTACAACTAAATTCATTTAGTTATTTAGCCGAAGTAAATTTTCACGAATCACAGAGTAAGTTCTGTTCACGTGACTTTTACCTAGTTATTTTTCAGTTTTGATAATCATGGCGGTTACGCTTGCTGTGGGATCGCGTTTTTCTTTTTATGAGAAATAAGAAAGAGTTATCCCTTAATTGAGATATCCCGCACTGATGTTTTTTTAAGGTTAAATGCCAGTGGCCGATATACATTTGCCAGGAAAAACCCTACATAGATGTTTTTTAAGGTTAGGTTTATTGCCCGACATACTCAATATTGGTGTTTCTTTTAAGGTAAAGTGCCCTAAACCAGTGTACATTTGCCCTTTAAACGCTAAATGGAAGTTTTTTTAAGTTTAAGTGCCCTTATGCATTTCCATATAAGTTAAGATTCTATAAAGTTAAGTGCCACTATATACGGCATTCGTTTTCCCGGCACTGATGTTTTTTCTTCTTCTTTTTTTAAAGTTCAAGTGTCACTATCTGGTCTGTCATACACTAATATTAAACGTGGTGTAGGTTCACTGGACAGTTCCGATTAATGGAATATCATTACGTTTTAGTATCAACCCCGGAAATCAGTTCAATATCATTACAATATTGAAAGGAACTTTTGTTTGGATTAGTTTCCGTAGAATTGTGGTGGATATACAGGGGTTGGACAAAACAATGGAAACTCTTCTATAAAAGCACATTTTTTTGATTTTTCTCAAAAAATGCTTATAGAATCATTTTATAGGTTTAGAAATGCTTAAACTATGCGATTTCTCATACATATAATTGAAGTTTAAAGGTTTGAGTGACCGAATGTAAACTACAAGCGAAAAGACGTGTTTTTAATTTAAAATTTTCATGGAGAATTTTAAAATTAATTATTTATGGGGATATGGACATTTTTTTTAAAAATAAAACTTATTTTTTTGTCTTAGGTTTTTTTGCTATAACTTTAAAAATATTCGATAAAATTAAATAAATTTTTTGGAGCAATTTAGAATTTTCTTCAAAATTATTTCTTTAAAATTTTTGAAAATTCGTTTAAAAGTACTCAAGATATGAGTAATTAATATAGTTTTTTTTAAACTGCCATCCTCGGTTTAAACTAATTTTTCCCCTGTTTTGAAGTGAATCATATTTGACAACAAACAAAAAAAAAAGTCTGGTTTGAATAGCTTAAAAATTTAAAAAGTTTCTAGCAATTTTCCAAATAGTTTTCATACTCTTTAAAAGAAAGCTCAAAATGATAAGGGGTTTTCCCCAAATCTCATTCTGTACTATTAAATAAGATTTATTAATAAAGACACCGGCATTGTTGAGGATCCTCCTCCATAAAAAGTATCTTTTCTTCTGCCTTTTTTTTTCTTATTAAATCACATTTCGGTGCATGAACGTTTATTGTTAGATATTATCTCTTGTTATTAAATTCTGTCACATAATTCAAAATAATATTTGTAGAAAACCCCTCATCATTTTAAATTTTCCTTTAAAAAGGTCGAAAAATTCTTAGAAAATTGCTTGAAACATTTTAAATGTTTAAGATACTCATATAGGACTATTTTCATTAGTTGCCAAATGCGATTTACTTCAAAATTGTATAAAATTTTTTTATCCGATTAGTTGTATAAAAGAACTACTTTATTTACTTATATTCAATGCACAGTTTTAAACAATTTTTTTAAGAAAATTAAGAGCAAAAATCATGCTATTAATTTTAAATTGCTCTAAAATTTTTGTTTAATTTTATTGAATATTTTACAAGCTATAGCAAAAAACGCAAGACAAAAAAATTAATTTGCATAAAAAATATCTCCATAAATATTTTAGATAGGCTTATGAAAATTTGTATAATTATTGTATGAAATAACCAAAATTACTGGCACAAGTTACAATTCTAAATTCTGCATTTCTTTTGCTTAATGTGGTCAAAACCATTATTTTCAGTTTTAAATTTATTGTTGGTCACTCAAACCTCTAAAAGTTTTAAACTTCATTGATTCGTATGAGAAATCTCATGATCAAAGCACTTATGAAGTTACAAAATGACTAACTTAGAATTTCTTGCGAAACATGAAATAAATGTATTAATAGATGTGTTTTAAATATTTTGCCCACTCCTTGTATTTTACCGAAATTCTGCGCAATATGCCATTGCCATATGAAAACAATTATGAGTAATTTGAAGTTCAAAAAGCACTACCTTCATTTACACAATTTTATTTATCGTTTTCAATTTTCGGAAAATTCTAACTAAAATTTTAGTAAATTTAAAATGCATATTTTAATTAAAATTTTTTTTTCTAGTTCATCATAGAAAGTGTTTATGTTAAAAATAAGTAACAATTATTTTTATCTTGTTACAGGGAGCAACTATTCAAAAAAATGGTAAGTACCGATTTTTATATGACTAAAACAGCATGTGTTTACAAAATACTCACATCAATTTAATGAGGACGAATATTTTTATTTTTAAATATTACCAAACCTAGAAAACATATTTAAAATTAAAACTTTTTATCAGTATATGTTTATTTTGTATCACAATGTCTGAAAACTTAGTGAAATTAAAACTTCCTTAACACTTGACTCCCCATGAAGCTAGAAATTACTATTTGATTTTCCTAGTAAATGATTCAGACGTAAATATGTGTAGTCTTTTAAACTAATTTATGGCAGTTTTTAACATTTTGAATAGCAGTACTATGATAAAAAGTCTAATTTAATTGAATGACATATTATTTTAAGAAATTTGTTATATCCTGTTTTATGTAGCTCAGATTTGATAGATACATCTTGGACAGAAAAAATACAAAGCCGAAAAAAATATTTTGAAGTACTTCTTCATTATTAAAAAACATAACTACACAGTGAGTTATGATTAATTTAAATTTTAAATTTTATCCTTATTTTACGATACTCCATTCGAGGAGTTTTATTATATTTTTGCCGAGATAAATGTCAGAAAAGAATATTCGTAAAAGGCATTAGTAAACAAAATTTATTTATTTATTTTTGCGTTTTATAGCTATGTAAACGAGTTATATAATATTACAAAGTATTCATTGTATTGTTTAGCTAAATGTAATTATAATAGTTACATGACTTCGCTCCAAGAGTCATTAAATTATTGTCAAAATGCAACAGATTTAGATCGATTTGCTTCTATTGTGTTAAATAGAAAAAAAGAAAGAAAGAAAAACAAGGTTCTAAAATATACTTAAAGCAAAATAGTATACATATTGTCAAAAAGTCGTCAAAACTTTCAAAGATGCCATTAGAACGACAAGCTAAGTGAGTTCCTCTAAAATTTTAAATTACTATGGGTTATGACTGTAAAAAAAATTCTTGTAAGCATAATTAGGTGTGAAGAAAGGAAATCATTCCCGGAACAGCCCATTGTGGGCTGGGGGGGTCATAGAGGTTAAGGCTCCACAATTTCGTGACCAACGGTATGCCTGTGGCAATGTGGTTAACACTGCGCAAGCACCACTTTTACTTCCCAGACAGACTGGTACCCATCGATCTGAAGCTGGGTGGTCTTTAAACCGCCATTGGGGATCGAACCCCTGTTCAATGACAGTCCAGTGCCTACCACTGAGCCATCGACGCTCATAATTAGGATTAAATAAAATAAATGGTTTCATTTTAATTTAATCGGCATCAGAACATACCGAAGTTACAAATGATTGCAATCTATGATTACAGACAATTATAAAATAAGACTGCAAGTAAATGATTNTCTCGAAAACTATCGCGACTGGCAGGACAGAAAGGAACCAGCGATCGGAGCTCGCCCGTAACAGTATCACGTGAATTTGGTTTCAAAAGTACAACCCTATAATAGTAAATGTTTTTTCAGTATTCTGAGAAATACCGTGAGAAAAAAAAATTGACATAAGGCGAATAAAAATATATAGTCTTAAAAAATAATAGCCAGCATAATTTCTACTGAAATTTTTATTTCTGTCTGTATTATTTTGTAAGTTCACTTTGTCTGAGCTCAAGGGGGGGGGGGTTAAACCCCTAACCCCCTCCCTTGCGTACGCCCCTGTTGGGGAACCTCCTCCCCAACGCAACACCTGTAAAGTTTTACTCACTATTCATCATATTTTAATCATCTGCCCATGTTTCAACCGTCATCGTCTAACCTTTTTTGGTAGTTCTATTTTAACTCTGCAGGATTTGTTAGGTGACTCTCATCGTCCTAACATTTTTGCGTGTCTACGCACAATTGGTCTTTTATACTGTATATAACTGTTTTATCCTATTCACAATTTTATTCAGCTTTGAATGCAACTGTTTTATAATGCTTTACTACGTTTGCATTTTATCTGATTTTACTCACTTTTGAATACCTCTGTCACGTTGTATCTAGTTTTATAAATTCCGCGTGACTTATAATGAGATGAGAAAAATTTGTAATATGCATTTACCTTTATTTTAAAACCGTTTGTTTGGCGCAGCATGTCCTTTGGACTTTGTGCCATTAAACCCTACATTCAATCAATCAATGACAGTCCAGTGCCTACCACTCAGCCATCAGCGCTCATAATTAGGATTAAATAAAATAAATGGTTTCATTTTAATTTAATCGGTATTAGAACTTGCCACCGAAGTTACAAATGATTGCAATCTATGATTACAGGCATTTATGAAATAAGACTGCAAGTAAATGATCATGATTAGTTTTGATTGTGATAACTAGAAATCATAGATTTACATTTCCTGTAACGGGTTCTTTTTTGGATTTTATGCATTCATAAATACTTGCTACCAAAGAGTTGTCTTAATCACAGCTTAAATTTTAGTAAATTTTAGTAATTGTAGTCTGTAGATTACAAGTAATCCTTTCTTGTACTCCTGACTACAAGTTATTTTACTTGCAATTTATACACTTTTGTAAAGCTCTGCTCTGGACTATGCTAAATAAACTGAACGATGGTATATAATTTAATAGTACTTTGGTTATTGCATTTATTTTACACTACTTCCTATTGATGTTTTAAACAAGTAATTCAAAACCACTATGAAGTTATTTAATTAATTTTATTTTTCAGGAAGAATCATTCACCATCAAGAAAGTGATCTTCTTTGGAGGTTAGGCCTCGTTAGTCCTGAAGCTTACAAGATTAATACCGGATCACGGTATGATTAATGTTTATTTAATGTTATTAATTTAATTTGATGTACACGGAGCAAAATAAAAAACGGACTACCCTGAATAACTTTCAATTTAATGATCAGATCTTCAAGTTCTAGGACTCATTCTTAATAATATAAAGGGATAAAGCTCCAAAAGCTTATTAATTAGTGCAAACGATATTTTAAGTTACGAAATCGGGTACAAAAACGTACTTTCTCTGAATAAACATACCTTTTTTTCGACGGATTCCGATTTCTGACCTCCAAAATATAGGGGGTAACCACAATCTGTAAAATATGGTCGCAATAGTTTGGTCAGGAGAGATATCCAAAATTCGAAACCTTTAATGTTAATTTTACTTTTTGCGTATTTTGCGATATTTCGAGAAATTTTTAAACGAATGGAAAAATTTTTGCACACAATTATAAAATTTGTTAATCCAAAGATAATTCCATGCAAAAAATTTATTTTAATAAATATTTATTATTTGTTATTATTTTATTAAATAATATTTGAAAAAATTCTGAATTGTAAGGTATGCAATCTTTTACATCAATTTGAAATTTGTAATTTTACATGACAAAATACACAATTTGTGCAAAATCAGTTGAATAGTTCTTGAGAAATCGAATCTTAAAGATGTTTTATAGTTAAAATTCGATTTCCCAGAAACTATTCTACCGATTTTTTTTTTACATTTACATTTTTTTTGCCATGCAAAATTACGTGCTTTAGTTTGATGTAAAAAATTGTATATCTTACAATTCGAAATTTTCTCTACTACCATTTAATAAAATAATAAAAAATTAATAAATCTATACTAAAAATTATTTTTGCATAGAATTATCTTTGGAAAAACGAATTTTATAAGTGCGTGCAAAATTTTTTCAATTAGCCTAAAAAGTTCTTGAGATATGGCGAAATACGCAAAAAGTAAAATTAACATTAAGGGGTTCGCACTTTGAATCCCCACCCTGACCAAACTATGGGGACCGTATTTCCCAGATAGCGTCTACCCCCTATATTTTGGGTGTCAGAAATCTGAACTCCTCGAAAAAAAGTATGTTTTTTGTGTCTGATTTCGTAACTTAAAATATCGTCTGCACTTATTAATTACCATGTTTGAGATCACGCAATCGAGAATTTAAGATTGAGTCCTGGAACTTGAAAATCCAATAATTATATCAAAAGTTATTCAGGGTGGTCCGTTTCTTATTTTGCACTCTGTACATATTTGACTTCAGGAAAACATGAATAAATGATCAAAACAACTTTTTGACAGGTGTTGAAAGTTTAGACTTGGAATAATTTAAACAATCTGCTTAATTGCATTAGTAGTTTATTACTAAGATTTTATTAACTTACCTTTGTATCTGTGGTTGTGGGATCTTTTGAATTTAATTTATGTATCAAAATTTTCCAGCCTTATAAATCATAGAAAGGAATTTTGTACGTTAACAAGATGTTTATTTGGTTCGAAGTTCCAATCAGTGAAGTCTACAACAGTTCTGTGCCCATAGGATGCGAATTTCTAAATTTTGCCTCGTTAATATAACACAAAATACGCAAAAAAAGAAGTTTGCATAATGGATTATTTTTCTCATGCTCTCAGCATTTTTTGCACAACTTAACATTTATGCATCTGGTACTATTTGCACTGTCCTTAACCAAATGCCGGTCATTTTTTAATAATAAATTATTTACTACAGTATAAAAATGAAAAACTACCGTCATGGATATGTATTAAATTTTCTAATACTGAAAAATTTAAAAAAATATCGTTTTTTAACAATCATTCTTTTTGGGAAGAACGAGGAAGTTGTAATTGGTCATCAAATCTACGATAGAAAACATCCACTTATCTGAAAATATCCACATATTGTTGTTACACGTAAAGATACTATACACATAAAAAAATTTCGCAAAATTCAAATTCAATTTAGTGTAATTTAGTTAATCCTTACTAAACGCCGATGCAAATTCTTATGATATGCCAACAGTGTTTCTTAAGATACAATTTTTGAAACTATTTATAATTGAATACAGAGTAAAATTAAGAGTAATAAATTAATATACACGGAATCTTCAATTTGCAATGTATGTATTTAAAATTGATTCTTTTGGCGCCGTCCTTGATCTATATGGATTGCGTGGATGTCCGCAAGTGAACTCCCATGGCAACGACCCTGGGACGATCTTCATTTGAAATTGAGAGACGATGACCGTATAAAAATTAATGTCACCCTGCCTGTCACGACTTCTAAAATATGCATTTCAACGAAATTACAAGCCTCCAACATACTTTGCATAGAATTTTAGATTTCAAAGTACAAGCATAGTAGGAGTTAAATTAAGAAAATATTCGATTCATGAACTGAGTGATAATCTATTCAGTTTCACTTAGTAAAAATAGATTTCCTTCTTCATTTGGTTATATTAGGTTATTGATCTCAATCTTAACGTGAATATCAATTTGATTTATTATACTTGTTTTCAATCAATTTTATTTAATTTAGGTTTCTGTTCATTATTATTTGGTGATTATTTTCAATATATCCGCAAAATAATTAAATAATTGTGCAAAAGCTTGTTTTTAAACTTTTAAGAATGCGATGCATTTATTTTTTTATTAAATAGTAACTTATATGCAGAATGCCCACTAAAGTATACCACTCTCAACTTTAGAACGGTCGAATTTATAGCTATGGAGAGCTGCTGTAGTAAATTGTTCGAGCGCGACTAAATTAGAACTTAAACAGTGTCATCTGGTGAAACCTTTTGGCATTAACGTCTACCTTAAAACAGCACGAGATATGGAGAAAAAGGAATTACAAAAATGTAGGAGATAATTAATTTAATAGAACAAAAATTTGATATAAATATTAAGGAATATTGTTAACACACATTTGTTTATTCAAAATTCCTAATTGTGGCGTTGAAAAACGATATTATGAAGGGAAATTGTCAACTTGCATTTACAAGATAACTTCATACTTAAGAGGACGCTATACTACGAGTGAAACTGCTCATCGCAATTTCTCTTTCCCCTCCATAAATAATTTAAAATTTATAGTATAGAAAAAGTGAGTTCAGACAAACCTAGAGTAAGCCATAAGGTACAATTTTCAAAATTCATACTACAATTTTCAAAACATTAAAATGAAAATAGATGGTGAGAAAGATAACTTGGGATTACCCAATTAGGAAGTTTGCATTATGATATTTTAAATTTTTCGTTCAAAAATTAGAACTTTATGGCTTGCTGTTGGTTTGCATGAACTATTTTTTACATACATTAAAATTTAAATTAGCAATGGAGGGGAAATAGAATTTGTCAGATTAAGTTTCTCATCTTAGGATTAATGATCGCATTTGTGCAAAATTCATGATGCTCTACACCATTGTAAGTTTTTTTTCCAAATCTTATACCGTTTTTGAAATAGAAATAAGTTTTGAGATGGAAATGGAGCTACCAATAAATATTTCAAAAATACACCAAAGCGGTTAAGTTAAAGTATATTTGCAGGACAATATCTATATTTACCAGACAATGTCCAGGTTGACCAGATTTCGAACTTTAATAGTAACAGTTTACACTTGACAGCCGTAGTGCCGGGCAATATTCAAGCTGAAGTAGATCTTCGAAAGAAAAATTCTAAATGATTTAAAAATATCTTGATTATCTATTTCTAGATCTGCTCCCAGTAATCAAGGTGCATATTTGAAAACACCAAGCTATGATTTGACTGAAGAACAATTGATGGCAAATATTGAAAAAGAATTTGAATGCATATCTTAAAGAAAAAAGAAGCATCATTGCAACAAACAAATGGCGAATCAGCTTCATTAACATTTCACTGGTAAAGTGTGACCCATCAGCTACTTAATTAGATTGGGGATGAGTTTATATTTGGTAATTAGTATGTTCGATTTATGTTCGAAGTAATGGACAATGTGGTACTTTCTTTACATATCAGTTTTATATGCTTTGTATATAATTACATGTTGTATCGTTAACATTATCAACTTTGCAATATTTCATCCACATTGTTTTTTCTGTAATTTAAATTGTGGTTCTCGTATTCCATTCTTTTTTTATTGCATCTGTATTTTAAGACTAGAGAGCGTTTATTGACTGAACCAATTTTCTGGATTAATTTGACTAATTAAGTTGCAGTTAATAATATGATAATAATCTTACTGCTACCTAACTGAAAGCAATCTCATTAAGAGCTTGTCTGGTGATCATCACTGTCATTGAACAAGAATAGTATGGTTTAAAAAACCACAACAGAAATTCAATCACAGGAGAATTTTGAACATCTTATTTTTATATAATCGAGAGAGGAGAGACGGCTCTTTTCTGCGAAAGCTATTTCATGCGTTAAATATATGTGACAACCACTTGTATTTAGATCATTGCAAAGTGGAAAGACTCTATTTAAAGGAACTTTAATGATTATGACTCTAGAAATTGTCATTTTTCTCATTTTAGAGTCAATAGATGTTGTCAGCATATAATTTATTAATAAAAGTTTAAATAGAAAAAATTAAATATCTATAATTTATTAATAAAAAAAGGTACTCACATTCGAAATTGAGAAATGGTATTTAAACAGAGGAATGCAAAAAAACTACCGAACTCTTGCGTAACACTAATGAGGAAAGCGGGACTAAAAACATCAAAATCTGTTGTTGAACAAAGAGAAGTTGAAAGGCTATCTCAAGAAACATTGTTTCATCAGGCAAACTTGTCTTGATATTTTTCATTTGATATTCATCCCTAGTGATTCAGTGGATTTTGAAGGGTTTTTATTTTTTCCTTGTTAAAGATTAATTTGCAATCTTTAATGTGCGTCAATTTCTTATATTATTTTTGTCAAAGATTCTAACAATATATTTTAAGGGAGTTGACTACAAAATAGCATACATATATTCATGTAATATCTTCTGCAACCAGCCTATTTGTAGTTTTCAAAAACCAATTTGCTTTCTCCTGTAATAATAACGAACATATTTTTAAAAAAAATATTTCTCAATTCAAGATTCATAAAATGGTAAGGTTAGCAACAATTCAACCGCAATTACAACTCACATGATTTGAAGAGGGTTATTTTTTTATATTACTCATCGTTTAATCTAAACACAAAACGCACTCTAGTTTTCGTATTTGCTCTATAATTTTAAGAATTGAATTATTAATCACATTGACATGGGACGAAGTACCGATGCATTAGAAATACAGCTTCTGTATTCATTTAGTTTCCAATTTAATATTTAGTATCACTACCTGAAATAACGGCTAAACTAATAGTGAGCTTAATCCAGAGTCTATTCAGAAGTATGACTTGTATTATTGGAACTGGTTCATTTCATTAATGATGCTATATTGTGTGCATAAAAAATGACATCTTGGTGAAGAAAAATTTAACTTTGTGCTGTGTATGAATAAAGCTAAGCAAAGTGAAACTAAGCATAAATGTATCACATAAACATGCTCTAGTATCGGTTATGTAATAAAAGATCTTTATTAAAAATAAGTGTATTCTGGTATAGGTTCTGTAATATCTTGTTCTTAAAGAGTTCTTCGAACTATCGCCAATGAGCTTACAAAACTATCATTCTTAACCATGAGCTATATTGAATTCCCTCCTAATCTAAGGCTAGTGCAAAAGTTTTATGTTTACGTTTTATACTATTATAAATTAATTTGCTAGCACCCGCGCATTTCACAATAAGAAAAATTTAATATGAAATTAAATAATAAATGAATTGAACTTTCTCTTTCTCCTTTGTGCTCACACCATGTTTAGTTTTAATTATGTCCCTCAAACATCATTGACTCTCTAAAATCGATTCGATATGTAGAAAATTAATCACACAACCCAATAACCTCTCTAATTCAAACTATTAAAGTTTGATTTAGCTTATTATTTGGAAATAGGTCCCCAGAATAATAAAGTTTTGAATAAATTTGAGCCATTTTTCTTCTCTCTCCACTCTCCATTACTGAGTTTGTGATCATAAATTTTGAGTTTTCAACTGTTAAAATCATATTCAGCATTGCTCTCTATCCATTTATTTAGATTTGCTGGAACCATTTCATACTTTTGAAAGTTCTAACAACTTAGTTAATTACCTTTTTTAGTATCCTATTCCTTCCTATTGTTTGGATACCTACTTTCTTTTAATTTTTATCTATTTAAACACCTGAAGTTCTCCCCCTCCCCTATCACACTTGTTTTTTTACCATTCTTCTTTTGTTTACTTACCCTATTTAAGTTTGTTCACACACCTCAATAGTTCCACCTGCCCATTTCAATTCTGAAATTTGATTTTGTGATTTTCTTCGGCAACTATTTCAATCCGTGTTTGAACTCAAAAGATTTTCATTACCGAATCGAAACGTTTACATGATATTACATGTACTTTTTTTTCACTATCTTTAGCTTTATTTATAAAAAAGGCGTCTCATGTTGTTATATTTTACAAAATTTCTTTCCTGATACATCAGTCAACACTTGTACATTTTCCCCTAATTGTCTGTAAGAAAGTCTATAATAGTTTCATAGATATAGTGGAACTAGAAACATTTGTAAATATTATATGTAAATACGTTCAGCTTTATAACTGGAGAGTAAATTGTCTTCCTTTGAATGGGGTTTGGCGACGAGATTTTATTTATAGTCTTGTGCCAATTAGTGATGATATTTCGAGGACACTATTTGAATATAGTATATTAAAGGTGAATGTTGTATGTAAATTATAAATATTTATATGCGTAAAGTTGTGTACATAGCATTATTTGTTGAATTTGAATTACTGTATAGTGTAGTTATTGTGAACTAAATTGTCTTAATATTCTAAATAAATTTCATTTTTCTTTATAATCTCTGAAGAATATTTGTATTTCTTTGGTCAAGGGTCTACAAATTGTCGTGAATGTTTTTTTTGTTCTTCGTTCTTTTTTTTTTTTTTTAGTTGAGCACCAATCATTTTCTAGTACCATTTGATTATTTTTCGTTTCTTGCGTAGGTGTTATAGTAATTTTTTCAAACTTTAGTTAAAGTATATTCATTTATGCCGTTGAACTGTGCATTTTATTTATTTTAAAGAATGTTTAATTGTCATGACAAGTTCTTGTTCTGCCTTACAGATGTACTTTAAAATCAATATTTTTTTTATTCAGATTGGTGATAAGCTAGACCCAAACTCTGTTATTTTTTCAATAGAAACTAGAGATATTTCACACTCAAGATAATAAGCATATTACTAAATCAGTACGGAAACTAGGCCTGATGCAAAGATAAAATGGAAGAAAGCAGGGAAAAAAATAAAATAGGGGAGGTCACTAGAGAGCATCATGACTTACAAATGGATTCCTCCCCTGAAAGAATATTCACTCCTAAGAAAAAGATAAATTTTTAAATTTAAAATTTTTTTGAAATTTTCATTACGTTAAAATATGCTGTATTTTGTATGGTGATAATGATAATAAAAACAAAATATTGCTAAACTAGTTAATTAAAGATGGAATTGATGTTTAATAGAAGTAAAGTTACTAAAGAAACTAAATATGACATAAGCTATGCATTTTAATCCTTTACTATCACTTCTAAAATCAAAGATCTGTTTCATTTTAAAAATTCGATTTTTGTTAAACTTCTATTCAAAAATAACTCATTAATTATAAGTCACATTTAGAGTTTCGAGGAAAAATAATATACCGATACTATCAAAAATTAAAACACTAAGTATCTATACAGAAATAGGCTCAGAACCTATGTTTAGTTTTCGTTATTAACTGCATTTTATCTAATTTTCCATATTCTTACTACTTATATGTAAAGCCCTGCTGGATACATAAAGTAGCGCCTCTCTTTTCCTTTCGACATTTGTGCCTCTTTCGATTTTAATTGGCTGCCGCTGATCACATGGGTAAACTGTCGGCATTTTGTTGATTGGCTTGAACTGCGAGGTATGATTGCGACCGATCTGTTACTTTTATTTTCGCATTTTTTTTTAAAGTTTTGTTTTACACTTTTAAATTTACAATGACTGGTTATTGCACAGTTAGGGATTCAAATAAAATAGATTTTGGCTTTAAATTATATAGTTTACCTATTAGAGATCGGAATAAAAGAGACGTAAAATATTGCTGCATGGAATTTGCAGAGATAAATGGAATCTAAACGATAGGAGCAGATTGTGTGAGGTAAGTTTGAAATTAATTTATTCATTTGTAGCAAATTTTGCATATAATTTATCAACTATGTAAAGCAAAAACGTTTAATTATTTTTTTTAATTGGAGATTTAACAAATTCAATTTCATTAAATCTGTTCTCATGAAAGAAATGAAAATAGACAACCAATATTATTTTTAACTTTAATATTTTTTTTTCGTTGAAAGCTTTAAAAATAAAATTTAATCACATTTAAGTATTTGAATGTTTTGTTGCCAGAATTAAAAGTAAACTGGTGAAACATGTTAAATAGTTTTCAAATTATCATAATTTAAAATGTTCATGTTTTAATGAAATGATCTAATTCCTGTTTGGACTCTTAGTTTCTTTATTTTTATTATTTTATATATTTCGTACATTACAGTAAAAGTTTACGACAGTGCGAAATAAATTTGTTTTGTATTTAATTTTCAGAATTTAACTAAGAATTTTCATAGATATATTTGCTAATTTTTAACAAACCCATATTTTTTAACAAACTCATCTGTTTTGTTATTAAATGTGACAAAGCTCCCATTAACTAATTATTGACTGTTTTATCAGATGCTTTAATTTTAAAGTATCTAAAAAAGCTGATATTATTTTAATTATATCTAACTATATTTAATTATATCTAACCTGCATTTTTTTACCATACATATTTATCTTAAATTTTTAAACGGTTTTAAAATTTTTAATTAATTAATTGTATACTAAGAAAGGCCTTTCGGAACCAATTTTATTTAATATTTTATATCCGTCGTTGAGCAGCTGGCCCAATTTTATGTTCAACTCCGTAGACGTGTAATTTTGAACTCAATATAGAAGACAAGGGAACTCGTGGATCGAGTATTGTGAGAAATTTGCCTTCATGGAATACTTTTTGATGGAGCTAACCGGCATTTGCGTTACATGGAGAGGAAGAACACGAGAACCTTCCACTGTTAACCTGACTGCTAGGGGACTCCCATGATCCGTCTACCACTGAGGATATTTCACGCCAGAGCTGTGGTCGGTGCAAACCGGATGCGGAATTGATATTCACTGGAATTCGAACCCAGTTTGCCTCATTGGAAGTCGAACGCTTTATCCCCTGAGATATCACGGCCCTTTCGAAATCAATTGTAAAATTTTTTGTAAATACGTATATAATTTCCCCTTTCTGACAGAAAATGTCACTCTATTCAGCTCTATTAAAAGGAAACATGGCTGAAATGCACTTTACACAATTTTTTAAAAAGAAAAATATACTACATACCATTTATAACCATTTTTATTTGTACAAGATAGCGATGGAATTGCTTTTAACGTTATTATACTCGTTGTTTCTGTTTAAAACAGGCAAATTATAGTAACTCTGAAGCTTTGATGGATCAGCATAATGGATGGTAATAAATCTTTGCAGTGTTAATTGAAGCAATCTGATGACGCGATTGGCATTAAACACATTTAATGCATACTTTTCTCATTCCAGTGAAAATACTGAAAATGGGACTGTTTTAGTGAGAAATAAAAATTAAAAAAATGCTCGAATAAAAATTCTTTAGTAATATTACAAATTTTTTTTTTATCGACTGTCTCCTGTGTCAGGTAGGGTGGGGCCCATAGAGTACAACCAGAACCATTACAATAAAATTCGCGATTACTTTCCGACTAGCTAAAGTACTCAAATCTTTATTAAATCTCCATGTCTGGTGATATTTTTCACTAATAATTATACGTTTCCCAACATTTTATTTTACTTTTTAACCAGAGTTGAGCAGCCAACTCAGTGTTACGTAAGTTTAAGTGAGAGAAAGCATGGAAAAAATTACAGAGCAATGAAAAAAGGGGAAAAGAAAATTAATAAAAATCCGAAAAGGGAAAAAAATTAATAAAAATCTGGAAAATAAGAGATATAATCTTTCATTTTTCGGATTTTAATCAATTTTTTCCCTTTTTTCGGATTCTTTTCCAGATTTTTACTATTTTTATTATTATTTCTCCCTTTTTTCATTGTTCTGTAATTTTTTCCATGCTTTCTCTACATTTTGAATTTATTTTATGAGAATCTATTTCCCAATATATTTATGAAAAAAAAACTTTGTAACTCTTGTAAGATGTAATTGTTTTTTGATAAAGTAAAGGATTATTTATAATTTTCAATTCTCCTGACATTAATTTGAATAAAGCAGAATCCGTTAAGTAAAAAGTAACTTTATTTTTTTAAGAAAATCATATAGATTTTTGTATACCATATTCAGCCATTCAACAAAACTCATTTTTATATTTTTGACAGAGTCAACAACAAAACTATAGATTTCAATAACAAATAATAAGAAATCTTCCTATAATGGTAAACAAGAAATTCAAATAAACATGAAAACTAACTTACACATATTTGACTAATAAATAAAAATCATATTTATTACACATCCCATGAAAAAATATTTCGTTTTGAATAACTCATGCACAATACGTAACTGACTTATACTTTCATAATGTTTTAATTAAAATAATTCTAAATCGATAAGTTACATAGACTATGTTACTAAAATATTATTAATGAAGTAGATAAAAAATAATCATTTGCGTCATGTTATTTTTATATTACTTCCTTTTCGTTGGTGTTTACTTGAAAACAATCTATATTAAATTTTACGTATTAGAAATATTGATTTACATAATTTTCGTTTGTAATTTTATGATGGCTACACTTTATTTTAGTTTATGCACTCTTATATAATTCAAAGAAATCTTATCTTTTCTTGAAATCTTTATGAGTTTAAAAATGAACAGAAAATGTCACGAATTAATATTTTAAGCCATAAAAAAAGAATATTTGCATATCCTGATGAATAATTATACAAGAAGGTTTGGTTGAAAATATCAGTAACTGTTTGATGGCGTGAAAAACTCAGAGGAGACAAAACTTCTTTAAATTTCATTAATTCCACTGTTCTCAATAATGAGTCATCATATTTTGACAATATTTTTGCTTTTTCCTCGCTTACATTAGTTTATGAACCTAATTAATTCTTAGTTTTCGACAAGCAGTAAAATTATGCATACTAAGGGTGGTGCTTTCGGACCACCCTGTAGTGTTTGCTTCAGTCCTATGGAATATGATACTTAATTATTATTCTAAATCACAGTCAAACAATCCTATATAATAATTTATGTTACGATGTCTGAATCTAAATGTACAGGGTGCTCTGTAAAGGTCGCTCTTAATGTATTTTTAGAATCTTTACCAAATCTGAAAACAGAAAAAAATATGCACATGGAGTAGTAAATTTATATTTAAACGAGAAAAAAACAAAGACGCTTTTGAACTGTGATACATTACAGTTGAAGCAGGCAAACGTAATAAACATCAAAACAAGTTTAATTTTGGAACTTTAAGACGTTTCTAACAATTGTCTCTCATACCTTCTCTGTTTCCTTGTTATCTTGTTGTATATTACATTTGCTTCCCTGTAATGTGAGTTGCCAGATTTTGATAGCCAAGCCGTCTTATTTTACAATTCATGTTAACCATGTCTAAATCTATACGTGCAGAGTGTTCCACAAAGGTCACCCTTAATGTACTTTAAGAATCTTTACCAAAAATTATACAAAAAACTATACACATGGGGATGATGAATTTCTATTTAGGTGCTTAGGAACTATCATACATTACAGTACAGGCAGTGTATGTAATAAATGTCAACACAGATTAAATTATAGGTTTTTTTTAAAAATTAAAGGTTTAAATTAAACTTTAAGATGTTTTTAATATTCGTCTTTCAGCTCTCCTCTGTTGTTTATTGCATTTGCTTCCCTGTACTATGACTTGTCAGATTTTGATAGCCTATTCGTTTTTCTCTGATTACGTGATAATTAGGTACCCACATTGACATGTTTTTTGTTATTTTTGACAAGACTCTAAAAATACTTATTAAGGGCAGTCTTTACATGTAAACCCTGTATATTTTCTAAACAGCAAACGATTTTCTATGTGTAAAGCTTTCCACATTTGGTTTCCCTCTCATAGCACATTATCATATTTACATTTGTTTCAAAAGTTAAAAATGTGCTTTTTATAATAATTATTTGCAGAGTATGACAATTAAAAGTGTAGAGGTATTAAAATACTAAAAACTAGGTGGCTGATGCTAATTTTTCAGAGCAATATGCTCAACATAATTATTCCTTATGCGCAAATCATTTACAGATTTTGCACACTCATTCACACATATCAGTTAATTACTAATTCTCGATTTCTTTTTAACAGGGGTCATCTTATTTGATTATCAGTAATGTTCAATGGGGTCCCAACAGTGCTGTTCAAAAATGACAGCTGGGTTGTGTTAGCAGCCAAAAGTTCCAAATTACCACCAGCCCATTCAGGAAATGTCTTTAAGTTAAATATGGCAACTCCTAATGTTTGGATCATAATTAATTCTACCGCACAGCATAGAAATTTTGAGACCAGGCCCGGTTTCATCTGAAATGATAAAAAAAAATTTAAATTTTTAAGTGTCACATGAATAAAATTGAAAACATTTATGAGGAAAGTAAAGCATTAGAATAGTTTGAATTTTTTTATCTTCTAAGAATGATTATGTTTAAATTTTGTTCATTTTTTTTAAATGTATTTTTTAATACTACAAATTATTATTGAAACAAATGCGAAGAGATATTTAAATAAGAAGTTTGGCATTTAATTAGGAAGAAACGTTAAATAGTTATAATGATTACGACTTATTCTGAATTTTTTCACTTACGAATTCTCTTACGCTTAACCCTTTGCTGTCGTATTTTGTTGATAGTAAACGGAAATTAACTGGTAGCTGGTAACAGCTATACCACGGTAAAGGGTTAATATAACTAATATTTTAAAAACGCAACATTCCCATAAAATTTATAATTTTTGAGTTTCAACCTTGGCGACGGGGTTGTATGGTGTTAAGGAAGCTGATCTCAAGTCAGAAAGGCATTGGGTTCGAATACTGGATAAGGTATGGATGTTCTTTTCTTCTCAGTACTATCTATACTTCTTACTGTGGGAGCAACGTCAGTTCACTTACTATGGTGCGAGTATGGCCAGCAAACCTTCCCTTCTGATACCCGAATGACGAAAGTCTATATTCTGGTGTGCATCGGGAAAAAAATTCAACCTTTAGAAATCACAATTTTTAACGTATCTGAAATTGATCATTATTGAGGTTTTTAAAACATTATGCAATTATATTGATGTTTCTAAGCTTGTGTAATGGGTTGCTAAAAAGAGAGTGTCCAAGATAAGGACGCAGGATTTTCGAAGACAAAATGCAATGTTTATTATTCGTACAGCGGATAATGGTGTAACGCTTTGTGCTGCACATGTGATATTAGGATCTTTTAATAGTTACGAAGTTTCCAGAGGGAAAAAAAACTCAACCAGCAAGGATCAAGTGATATGTTTGAGAATTAATAATGCTTTTTTGAACGTAAACTTAACAGTATTATTCTTTAAAAAAAAAAGATAAATTGACTTCACGAACGACATAACGACTCTTTCGAAAACTCAGAAAAAATACATTTCAAACTTGAATACTGTTTACATATTTCAAAGTAATTTTTAGGCTATTACAAAAATTTGGGAATAGTATCATGAATTATTGTATTTTTAATGCTATGATATAATGAAAATTAAAAATGTCTCGGTTGAAAAAGGTTTTTTGTCAAATATTTTCAGTTCTTACATAAAAATGTGAATTTAGGATTGCGTGTTGGTGTTCAAAATATAAAAAAGTTATTCTAAGAACATTTACTATAGTTGTTTTGATGCTGAGATGACAGCGAAAAATTCATAAAAATAGTCTCATCAGCCAATTTCTCACAGCATTAAATTTACGTTAAACAAAATAGAATACTTGAGTAAAAAGAATAGGTCAACAGAATATAAAAATATGAACTTTTAATGAAAAACACATAAATTCAAAATTTGATTTTAAAATATTAGAGCTAAACTTTATCGTTGTGATAAAATACAAAATGAAAATTATAATATCCTTAAGGATATAGTTTTAACGATACATAAATCGTAGAAAGTTAACATTCCAGAAAAATATACGTACGTATAGTAAACATATTTTTTTATAAAAATTGCTTTGTACTAAATATGTTGACTTAAGTACTGTAATTTTTTAAAAAAAATTGGAGTTTAACATTTAAAAAAAATTTCTGTTTTTTATATGTTGAAATTTTTTACCATATCTAACGTTTTCATGCTGCTGGCATCAAATACAATGGCATTTGATGGATTTCCCACTGGTAAGATCATTGCAAAAGAACAGCCGATTGTCACCGGAAGCATTAGATAAAGAGGGTGGACATGCAGTGCTTCGGCCTGAAAGAAAAATTTAATCTTCATTGGTTTCAAATACATTATTCCTAAACAATTACACTGAATCCTAATAATAATAATTATCCTAATTTTTAGAATTCAAAAATCACATCAAACAAGTATGCATATTTGTTGTTACTAACCTCTTCTCTGTAGGCATCGCGTGCCATGCGATGAAGAGAAGAATTGCATCATTGAAATTGAATTCGTCACTTATTTCCGCGTTTCTTAAAATCTTGCGATTTTTTTTTGTATTTCTGAATATTGCTAAGAGATGGCGCAACTAGTCCTACTTTCTTTACAGTTTTAGTGGTGAAATTTCCCTGCTAGAATTGAAATCAAAATCGTTCTGTAAGTTCCTATAACAAATCAATACCTTTGGAGATACTGTATTGGAGATTGATCGTTGTAGTCAATCGATCTGGTTCAGGTCAAAATTACGATCTGCAGATAAATGAATAGAGTATGATTGGATCCTTCCTGTAAAACGGGCTGCATCGTGTGTATATCTGAAGTTGAAAAAAAGTGACTGAAAAAAAAGGAGAATGTAATTAAAAAAAATAGGCTCACCATTTCGCTCACCACTGGAAGCATGATAGTTGCCATTGACATATTGCTTATAACTTCAGTCAAAATTGAAGCCATGAATGTTAAAATGATTACGATAGCTGAAGGAGATAAGACGTTTAAATATGATAACTGCGAACTCAGCCAGGATGATAGATGAGATTTCTGGAAAAAAATTTTAAAAAAAATGTCCATATTATTTTAGCAAACAGTAAGTACAGTAAATATTTTAAGCGAAATAGACTGGCAATAGAAATGATATAATAACAGTCTGTTTGATACTTTTAAATGACTTTACAGTTCCTAAACTACTTTGATAATGGTTAACTTGAGAAAAATGCAGAAATAATGGCACCAGATCACGAAACGTACTGTATTGTAAGCTAATCACCCCTTGGATGACAAAAAAAAAGTAGAAAATAAAGAGGAAAGATCACTGGGACGGTTTAAGTTAGTTGAACTCTTTCATACAGAGTTTCTTCAATTACTCCTTAGTCAGGTAAATTTTACGATATTGTTATTGTAATATTTACTTTGCTATATAAAGCTTTATTTTTGATACTGTTAATCTCCATTACACCTCAGATTTCTTTCAACAAAATACAGTTTGACTATAACTGATTATTAAAGAATATTCTCGCAATCGAATCCTCAACGTTTCTTAATATTTGCAAAAAGTTCAAAACGTTCTGATTAGTTAAATGAAGAATGCTTAAAGAGAAAGAAAAAATTAACTATCATAACAATTTGAATTAAGACATTACTTTTACTTCATGGCGTATCAGATATAGCTCGTTCACCAAGAGTTGGCACTTGACTCCGCCTTTATCACGTGGTATGCGACGATACTATTTCGCTATTTTTGGGAGAAAGTAGAGAGCAATTCTGAACAAGGTTGCTATTTGGTGATCATATGGCAAAAATATTTTTTTCGTAAACTTTATCTGCATTTTTTAACTTTAAATATTTCATAAATTTGATGATATTTCGCGCCATTTTTGCTGATATTTCTCACTTTTGAGTGAATAGCAGTTTTTAAATTTAAAACATATTTAATTAGCTAGCGAAACGAAAGATATAATAGCATATGATAAAGCAAAAGTAAGTGGCTGAAAAAGAAGTCACTGTTTGTGTTTGGCGCGCATTAAGGATTGTCTCAATTTCCAGCTTGGAGATGTTTCTCTTCTTACTCCCGCGCTGAAATAAACTCTGCGTCCGGAGAGTCAAGTTCCAATTCCTGGTGAACGAACTATAATAGAGTTTTAATAAATTTCATACTCATTCGTAGTGTAGTTATTTGTCACAAAATAGCTAAAAAAATTACATATTACAAAATGATTGAAAATTTTAAAATCTACATATATATTTCTCTTACACGGCGACAAAAAAAAGCCTAATTACAACTTCCCGAATGGCAACGCTAGAAAATCGCCCAACTCATACTATTAAGCTAGGCAGAAGTGAGTAGTCTTTGTCGATTGATCTTTATTTTAGTATTTTGTTGAAAGCGCTTTTTTCACGAATTTATATATTACGAATTTATTTGACGATTTTTGATTTATATCGTGAATTTATTTGTTTTATTATTGTTATCAGTTATTCATTGAAAAATGAGTCTCAGTCGTGCTGTTACGCTTTAAGATTTTATACTATAGCACATTTCTAATAGGTTTAGCGAATTACATGTCATTTATTTGAATTCAAATTTATTTTAATGACTTAGTATTTACTAAAAAGATGCAATTTTTTTTAAAAAAAAGTTGTTATATGGATTTGAATGATTGTTTTGAATTCTTAGAATTTTGTGTATTTGCAATGTACCTAAGTTAGTAGCGAGCGAAGATAGCTAGGTTTGCGAAGCAAACCATATAAGATTGCGTAGCAATTTTCGGGGGTTGGCGAGAGTTAGCGAGAAGGGGGCGAAGCCCGCTAGTTAAAAATATTTTCCATATACATAGCTAAAAAAAAAACCTGCTAACATCTGTAATAACTTTTTATGTAATGATCAGATTTCAATTTTAAGGGTTCGATGATTTTTACCTTAAATATGCTATTCAATTAGAGCAGACGATATTTTAATTTTTGAATAAACATGTCTTTTATTCGACGAATTTGGATTCTTGACCTTTAGAATATGGGTATAGTCATACTACCTGGCAAATATGGTCCCAATAATTTTGCTGGAGAATGTTCAAATTTTGGGTACTTAATTGTTAAAACTACTTAGAAATTTGAAATAACGGTGGCATGTAGAAAAATGTACAATGGAATAAAAAAATTTAGCATTCAATAATAATAAGATAATTATTAACAAACTTGTAGGAAAACATATCATAAGGGCTGCTTCTGCAGGCCGTGGGAATGCAATTACTGAGTTGAAACATGGCATGCTGAAAGAGTCGCATTTGTTTATGACTTCAACTAAGTTTTTTTTTTCGATTTTCCAATTATTTTGATAGTAATTGCCATTTCAAATATTTTTTGTGAATTTGTTACGCTATATTTTACTTTGCTGCAGAAAATCTTAATGACTTAGAAGCTTGAAAATACGAATGTGTTCAGAAAAATGCACAAGGAGCTTGGAACAAAAAAAGACATGTTCGTTAAAATTAACTAAAAAAAATTATGAACGCTTAAACGCGTAATAAAAAACACCATGTTCCCTGATTTACTGCCAGTTGTGATGCAACTACAGAGTTGAAATTTGACGCACTGAAAGAAATTATAGATGCAACGAGAGTTTTTTCAAAATTTCAATTTCCGAGAAAGTCATTGCAATTTTAAGCACTCTTCTCTTAATTTTTAATAACTACATAATTTTAAATAATGATTTTTTATTCATTATTGTCAAAAATTTAATTAGCTCCAGTTTTTCATTTTGCTAGCTCGCGCTTAATTTCATGTCAAAAGTAACGCTGGAAATTGAATAAATAAAATTTAAAGAAATGATAGAAAATATTAGGTGTTGCCAGATGTAACTGATAATACATTTAGAGAATTTTTTTGAAAATATAAAATTCTTAAGAGAAATAAAACCTGTTTCCAGTTTTAACTGCTACACAATATAAAGTTATCGTTAACCTCTGATACAATTAAATTTACGTTTCTCTTATTTCATATCGTGTCACATATTCTAAATTCCTATGTTAATTTTTTTTTTCAAATTCAATATAATATTTTTTAAATCCAAGTAATTGTTCTTATTACATAAGCATATTAACAAGATGTTCTTACATGAAATTATAATAATTAAATATTTTATAAACAAAATGATTTTTTTTTTCGAAAAATGTTGACTCATAATGGAGTCCCTCAGTTTGAGAAAAAAATATTACATTACATTAAAAACTTACTTTAGACAGCATACTCAAAATGTTTTGTTCTTTGGAATATTATTATGTTGCAAAGGTTAAAATGGATTCTGAATTAGGAATAAGATTTTTTATATTTTGGGGGAATAGCTAAAAAAAAACAATCAGCATTATTACTGCAGGATGATTTTCTGATAATCATCAAATTTAATTCGCAATTTTAGAATCTTAATCAAAATAAAAAATGTATAAAAATAAGAGCATTGCATGCTGCAAATTAATATCATTAAGCGAAGAAACAAAATCGAAATGAATCACTAGTAAGGAAGATGGAAGTAAAAAACCAAAATCAGTTGAACTAAATGTATTTTTACTAATGGTCTTTCATTTTCTCCTCAGTCTTCTGTTACCTCAAGCACTCAAACATGTTTCGATGCTCTCAATGCCGAACTCCTCGTTAGTGATATATTAGGCTTCGACAAATTTCTGTTTCTTCCTCAAATAAATATTAACTTACTACTGTTAATGTTTTTTCCAATTTAATTTTTGAGAAGATTTCTGAAAAATTATATTCAGGACTGTGATTATGAAACAGTCTGCATGCGTCAAGTTTTACCTTAGCTGCATCTGCAATAACAAATCCACTGCCCAGCAGCAAAAGTATACCCCAAGGTAATTTCTTCTGAGCAGTTTTCCATACGAGCAACGGGGGACTTCTTTCTGTCAGTGACGGCTTTGATGGAATAATAAATAACAAGACACAGACCCCCAACACTGGCGTAGCATCACGAATGTTTCTAAGGGAAAACAACAACACTTAAGAAAAATCTAAAAGTGAATTGAAAATATAATTTTAAAAAAAGAACATGGACGATATTGACTTTACTTACTTGCCATATGGAATATAATATGCCCAACCATTCAAGAACTGAGGGTCACGTAAGAACCACAAGAAAACAACGAGTATGAATAAAACTGCAACAGCAGTTTCATGAAATCTGCAAAATAATAAATTCAATTCAATTCAAATAAATTGAATATTTCATTTCGTAGGTTATAATATTAATACACTCCTCTACAGTTTCATACAGGAATTGAAGACACTAAATAATATTATGCATTGTATTACATTATTATTTCAAATACACAACCGGAACAATTAGGCAGAATGTAAAACAAAATGCAGTTGAACTCACGTATTACGAGTAAACAACGTTTGCTTGCTCCAACCGAGTGCTCGTAAAAATTGAATTTGTGAAAAAAAAATCAATAATCCATCTACACTCACTAAATTATAAATATAATCTTTATTTTTTTATTTATTGACAGTACAAAAGAAGTCAGTGAATTTGCTTTGAACGGTCTCTTTGCTATTCTCTGACTCGGAAAAACATCGCCAACATCAAAAATGAATTCAACGATCAGTAAAACATCAAAAAGGTATTTTTTTAAAAAGGGATTAGATAAGCTGGAGAGGTAGAATGAGGTAAAAGTTATCACAAAAATATTGCTAGTTGGAAGCGAGCTATGCTTCAATAAACTTAAGATTCTACCAACTATGTATTTCTGATCTCTTCGTTAAATCCGGATTCTCGATAATTCAGGAGCTCGTTACAAGCGAATTCTGCTGTTAGAATTATGAGACATTTTACAATTGAAACTTCTAGAAAGTAATCTTTTAGCTCAAAATGATTCTTTAGCAAGTTTCCTTGTATTATCTGAACTCCATGTAGCATATATTATGCATATTATAATATTACGATTCCAAATGACTTAACAACACGAGCAGACAGGTCTTATAGAGAACATCTATGTGTTAAGTTAATTATGTTTTTATAACTATAAAATCCATTAACTAAACTTCGAACTTACAAAGCGTTGTTTTAATTCCCTTTTTTGGTATACTTAATCTAGCTAAACCAACTCACGATAGTCAATCGAGCGATTTTCTACTATTCATATTCAGTTCATTCGAAGAGGTATCTCTTTACAGTATCTATTTTAAGACTGTACAGTGTTAATGCAATTTTAATATGTTATTACACTGATATAATATTTTGTACCTATATTAGTATCTTTGGTATCTATAAATACTGGAGCAAAAGTGCCTTTTACCAAACCTAAGTATTAGTGTCAGAAATACTATGGTGACTTTTTACGTTTCTCCTAAATGAAATAGTACCAACTCTCCTTTAATTTTGACTTTATAGTACATAACTTATTTTTTATTTCTTTTACTATTTACAAAAACTAATTAACTATAAGTGGCGTCGAAAAATGGAGTGATATCGGGACACTGAATTACATTATGCACTTTTTACCCTTTCCCTCTTTAAGGAAGCCACTTCGAAATTCGTAGTTTGCTAGGCACTGTGCATCTGTTTGTCAATTTCTTTGATCGACACGTGTAATTCCGTTATTGTTTCGGTGTTATTTGAAACTCACTTCTTTTCTTATCTCTCCAAAAATGGAAATATGCTGATAAAAATTCATTGGGTCAAAAACATGTTTGTTTAGAAAGTTAATTTTCTTTGAGAAACAAACTCAAGTGTACCGAGATTCCCCCCCCCCCGAAGACACATTCACACCAATTTAGTTTTGGATCTCACAGAGTGAGATAATATTATAACCACGCTCTGAGCTGCAATCAAGGGCGCCGGCTGAATAATATAAAAAGGGGTGCAACCCTCAAACAAAAAAACAAACAAAAATATTTTGTTTTGTTATTACGTGTACTTAACGTGTACGTGTACTTTCATCTGTTAATTTTTTTCAAGATACATTTCCTCATTGTTAACAAGATATTTAAAAATAAAAGTACGAATTTCTTGTACTTGAAAATTTTGCGACGAGAAACTGTATTGATGGCGCTGACATAGCTACTGCCTTTGAAACACAAATAACTACAAACAGTAATTTCGTATACTAACGTATTTTTGCACGCTTAAGATTGGTATTTATTGTGTTGATATATATACTATGTATAAAGATCTGCTCTCACCGAATTTCATTACTGAAGCTACAACGTGGTACGAAATGTGAAGGAATGGAGAAAATTCTTATGAATTCCTGGAATACATCGATTTAGTTATTGAGGCCACACCGTTTTATCCAGCTGTAGCGGAGGCAGTCAAAATTGGCCTTACTATTTCAGCTACTATGTGCACTATTGAACGCACTTCTAGTACGAGTACAATGTGAAGCATCAAAACATGGAATCGGTCTACAATGTCTCACGAGAGATCAAGTAGTTTGTGCATGCTCAGTGTGCATAAGAAAAGAATCAAAGATGACTCAGAATTCATTGAAAAAGTTGTGAACAAATTTGGACAGCAAACAAGACGATTGCAATTCTTGTTTGATTAAACAATTTTTTAATTGTTATGCGCCAATAATTACTTCATTATTTGTTTTTGAATAAAAATATTTTTAATGAAAAAGTTTTATAGCAAAATTGTTTTTCTGTATCTCTTTAATTGTTTTTTTTTTTTAAAAAAAAGCCAGGGGGTGCAAGTGCGCCTCCTTACGTCCCCCTGACGGCGTCCTTGGCTGCAATGTCTTCATATCAGTGATTCGATCCAGTAAGAAAGCAGTGAACTGAAAGGCCCATACAGTAAATAATCCCTTTTAACGAAATAACGACCGACGAGGCCCGCTTATAGTGTATCAGGAATTTTACTAAAATGATTGATTCTAAAGAATCTATTGACAAGATTGGATTCTATGAAAAACGTATTCGAGAGAATAATTCAATATTGTAAAATTTAACAATTATTCGACAAAAATAAATATTAATATTTATTGTCTTAAAAATAATAAGAGTAATGATGATTATGATGATCTTACGTGATTTTTCCAAGCTCCTTGTAGCTTTTCAAAACAATGTTTTCTGCTGAAATCTTAGCTCTTTTTGTTTCTTTTGAACTAAAAAGTTAAGAAAATAACTTAGATGCAAAACCATTTAAATTTTTATTCTCAAAAATATTCAAAAGACTCTTTTTCGCACTACTCGCCATTAAAATTACTACACCAGGAAGGAATGTAAATAACAGAATGATATTTATTGGGCGCATACATTACAGTTGGAAGAACAAGAGATTAAATTTTCAGGATATTTGGATGTATAAATCCTGTGGAATCAGTACTCAGTGCAGCCTCCCCTGGCAGCAATAACAGCAATTATTCTCCTGGGCATCGAGTCGAACAGACATTGCATAGCATGGACGGGTACAGCATACCATGAAGCTTCAACATTATGGCACAATTCATCGATCGTAGTGATTGATGAGTGGTGGCATGCCATTCGTTTGGCAGCCATTGACCAGACGTTTTGAGTTGGTGAGAGATCAGGGGAACGTGCTGGTCAGGGTAATAGGCGAACATGCTCTGTGACAATGAAGGTCAGGACAGTGTGGGCAACATTCGGTAGTTCATTGTCCTGCTGAAATTTGGTGTTATGGAGGCCTCGAAGATAAGGCAGAGCAACTGGCCCTAACACATCAGAAGTGTTACGGCTGCTGTTCAAAGTGCCGGCAATGCGAACAAGAAGTGATCGAGACGTGTATCCAATGACATCCCGTACAATTACTCCAGGTGATGGGCCAGTATGATTGCAAGCTGCCAATGATTGTTCTCCACGATATACTATATCCGTCCTGCAAATTTCATGTTCGTGGTGTGTTGCCTTCCTGGTGTAGCAATTTTAATGGCCAGTAGTGTAGTTACATTCATAAATATACAATAGTGTTATATTTTATAACTCTCACAATTTTGAACGTAAGCTTTGATATTTCTAATTTTTTTTATCATTTAAATTGGGTTGTCCAGAAAGAAATTTCGCTTTTTTTTCTCCATGAATATGAAAGGAGGTTTTCTTACAGTGAATAAATATTTTATTCAATCATATATTGTTCAATACCTTTTGCTACCTTTCTGGTATTACACGTGCGTAAAATGTTTATCTTTGCTGGGGGAAAAACTGATGTAGATAACTTTTGACCTCATTATTTTATTTTATAACCGTCGTTGAAAGGCCGACACAAATTTTGGGCTTACGACTACTAATGTTTAACTCCGTACCCTTGTAAGTTTGAACCCAATCCAGAAGACAAGGGAATCCTTTATATAAAGGATTCGATAGAAATTTGCCTTCGCGGAAGACTTGATGAAACTAACCCACATTTTCGTTACATGGAGAGAACCTCCCACGTTTAACCTGACATCGAGGGGACTCAAACTCACAATCACTCTACCACTTAGGAAATTTCACGGCAGAACTGTGGTTGGTGCAAACTGAATGTGAAAGACCTCCCTAATTTGAAGTTAAGGTTTTATCTAAAATTTTATGAACAGACCGGAACATTGTTGCAGACAATCCATTTCTCGTCCGCAGTGATGTCGCATTTCAAAAATTGACTATTTTCTTGACGTTTGAAAATCAAATCATAAAAGTCAAAGCGATGTCACAAATTTCTTTCTGTAAGAACATGAGGAAACCATATGCCTAGATTTGAATAAACCTTAGGCTTTGCAGATGATCTTGAACTGTCGAATTAAAAAATTTTAATTTCTAATCAGTGATCTCACCAGTTTTATTCATTGTTTTGCATCAATTAATGACTTCACTGCGTCTTCATTATCTTTCACATCATTGTGCATCTTAATCAAAATTTCGCCGGAGTGAAATTACCATTACATCATTCCTATACACAATGGATAATTCTTTTCTTGCTAACAGCATTTTTACCTTTTTGACAGAAAAAGAGTAAAATATGCCGAAAATTCTGTTTTTAACTTTCCATATTTGAAAGGACACCGAGCGAAAACCACTGAGTAGAATCAAACTTTTTCACAAGCAAGCCTAGTTACACCAGTTTTCAAATATTTACAATAACTATTCAACTTAAATGTGAAGTTGAATATTGTTAAGTTCTTTGATAGAAAAAAAATAAATTACTTTCTGAACAACCTAATATAGTTTCTTTCACAAAGACGATTACGATTATTATTAATTTATGAGTTTTTAAGGCTCAGCTGAGGGGAAAAAAGTGATAAATTTTGCACATCGGAAAACTAGTATACATTTGTTTAAATAAATCTTAATTACGAATTCCAAATAAATATTGATAACTCAAAAAGCAAATTCAAACTTTATGTTAATTATAATTCACGAAGGAACTTTAACTTTAAATTTTATTTCACGAAGGAATAAAATATTAACAAAATAATATTAAACTTTTACATTCCTCTAAGTAAGCACTTAAAAATAAATAAAAATAAGTTTTAACCCAAATAAATTTTGTTTTTTAACTTCAAAATTTTTATTCCTTATTTAAAATAATGCACTTGAACTGTTAAACTATAAAATACTATTTTAACGAAGTTGCTTACAAGGTTGCTAATCATTCTTAATTTTATACATTTTTTACTAATAGATCATGGCTGGATTTTATATCAAAATTTGTAAAATTCTTACTAAATATGGTAATCATAAAATGTATACTTTTTTGAAAAATTAAATTGTCTTCTTAAAATTACATATAGAAATTAAAGCGTGCTATAAAATTCACATCATCTTCGCATTCATTTGTTTCTTATTTGGTTAGTATCCGTAAATAGTACATGTATTGCCTTGCAAATTAAAAGTCAATATAAGAGACAAAAAAAATCCAAATTGAGATATTTCTGTAATTGGCATCGTTGTATGATAAGCTGCATATTGCATAAAAAAAGTTTTTTTTTTAAATTTTTTCCCTTTCTTTAGTTTTTTGAAATTTTTTTGTAGCGTTTATAGCAATAGCAATAGAAAGAAAATTACTCTTTTTTATAATATTATTTTTTCTTATAATTTTTCTCGGAATCAGTTGTTAAACCACTTATGTTGATTTTCAATTGCACGGTAGTATACCATATAATAATAGAATACTATATACTATAGAATAATCATGCAAAAATTTAATTATAATATGCGAGTAGATTTAATAAAAAGTAAATTTACTTATTTTCCATTCCTCAAAAGCTTTCTTATTTTACCTTCATTCAGCAAATAATTCACTCGATATTCCATATTAAAATTTAACAATGCAAAAATTACGCAAACTGTTAAGCTTCACAAACTAACTTACATGTATGATACTTTATTTTTATTGGATATTATTCTGTCCCTCTGTTTCAGTCTATGTCTTTTTGATGAAATATTCTATCTTAAAATCTAATTAAAAAATCTTAAATACGTATTTTATGAAGGATATTATTTTATGAAGGATCATTAATTATTACTAGTGTAAAATAAAAAAAATTAAAAAAATCCTTTCTCTTATAACAGGTTTGTCATTGCACGATAAAAATGTAAATTATTTAGAAGAATCAAATATTTAGTAATATTTAGTAAAAATAAGAAACCGTATCAAATACACCAAAAATCGATGGAGAAGGTATATCTAAGAGAAATTAAGAGACATACCTACCAACAAGGTACAAATGAAAACTGGAGAATAATCCAACAGATTATAACACAAATGACCATAACAGGACCATTATAGAGTAGCCATGTTGCAAATGTCAACTCTGAAGAATCAGGATATAACCTTTTGAAAATTCACATAACTTTAGTATCGATAAAAAAATACGAAACTAAGTACTCGTGTTTCAGTACAGTGTTTAAACATTCTTTTACAATAAAAACAGTTTAAATTATATTTTGTACTCACAAGTTATTGCATGATGTTATTAAATTTAACTAAGGAAAAAAATTCGATCTGAATCAGAGCTGAACAAACTACATGCTCCAAATGTACTTTGAAATAAATATCATGTTATTTTTTAAAAAACAATGAAAAGTACTTCAAATGTTTCTAATCGTGAATTTAAAAAAAAATGTTCTTTAAAAAAGGAGCATGACAAGACCGTTATAGTACAGTAATATTCCGAACGGTAGGTTTGAAAGTACAGAATATTTCCTTTTGATTCAGAAATGTATTATTGATTTTTTAATAAATTTTGCAAAATTTTGTAATAGTTTCTAAAATCATGCATACTTTTCACAACAGTGTTTAATCTATTTTGCAAAGAAATAAAGTTTACATTAATCCGTTATTTATGAGAAAACTTTTACATGGTAACGTGCATCGATATAAATTATCACGGTAATTAATTATATATATATATATNTATATATATATATATATATATATATATATATATATATATATATATATATATATATATATATATATATATATATATATATATATATATATATATATATATATATAAAAGGGAAAGAAGTTCAAAAAATATATATATATATATATATATATATATATATATATATATGTCTAAATTTTTTTGTGGTTTAGCCCTAGGCGCCAAATTGGATCGTATACTTTAATATATGGGATTGTGATCTGGCGAATATGATGGCCATTCTTCATATGATATCAGGAACGTGAATTGCACCTTTTTTCACTCTGTGCCTTGTGAGATGGTATGGAGTCTTGCGCCCAGCTTACATTGAAGCATTGCAGCTTTGGTCCATGGTATAAAGTACAACAGCTTCTATAAAGTACAACAGCTTCTATAGTGTCCAGCTGGTGCACTTTTTGATTTATTTCAACGACCTCAGCTTCAAAAACCAAAGATGTTTTTCACGCTTGTGCAAATTCTGCTCCAGTCTTGACTGATTTTGGATTTTGGCGATGTTCAATAATTTCCTAGGTGCCTGGAGCAACTACCAACCTGATCCTATTGTTCTGGGGAGTTATATGAGCTTGTTGGACGTTAAAGAGTTTCGTATCAGTGAAAAGGAATCTCTCCAGACTCTGCGGGCAATCGTATCTAGCAATATGTACATCTGAATAAGCATTTCTGCCTCTTCATCGCTGCAAATTGCAGCCACTTTGAAACCAACCTAATTTATTAGTAAAAGTCTACTCTTATTATAATTTGTCACATTTTGTTAATTTATTTTATAAAGTAATATTAAAAACTATTTGTCTTTTTTTGCATCCCGTATTTCAATTAAAATTCTTTAAAAGGTATTTTACATTTGTATATTTAGTTATGGCATACTTTAAACAAAAATATTTGAAACTTATCCCAATTTTTTTTTTAAAAAAAAGCTAACTTTAATTTAGTGATTTTTTTACTTACTCTTCCATTAAACCTTTTAGAACAAGGTTTGGTCCAGAACCTATAACTGTTCCAGTCCCACCACAATTAGCTGCATATGCAATACTTAGAAGAAGAGAATCTCGCAAACGCCTAAATTCCTTCTCTGGACTCGAATTGGAATTGCTAAACAAAAAGAGGGATATTTTACTTTAAGATAACATACTTTAGAAATTGCCTTCATTTTCATGAAAGCTTGGCTATTCCATGTCGGAAGTTTTCGAATTTCCTTAAGTTATCAATATACGATACTGTATAATGCAATGGTTTTAGCCAGAGGAAATTCCTGCAGAGAAAAATTTCACAGGTTCGAGAAAAAAAAGGCAAGTATCTGATTGATTACACCTGGTTTTTGTTGCATCTTTAGAAAATAAATTTGGAAATCGCTTTCTCTGTACTTTCTGATGATGAGTTAAATTTGATATGAAATTAATTTAATTCAGCTGTAGAAAGAGTTGCTAATGCTCTGCAAAATTAATTTCTTGAACAAAAGAAGAAAAAAAGAACTAGTTTAAAATATATTTTAGAGAAATCGGTTGCAGAATTTTAGTCTTTAATTTCTGAGTCTTACCCAAGATAGGCAAAAATAGCAACAGTGCATCTAAAAATTAGTGAAGAAAAGTAAATTACAGAATTTTTTTTTCAGTTAAGGTGACTAATAACACAGAATTTTTTATTATTAAAACTTTTTCCTTAGTAATGAAGTAATTTTTTTAATTTTGCTTAAATATTTATTTTGCGAACTTAAAAAAAAAAAAAAGAAAAAAAAAGAATTTGTATAGATCAAAATTCTTTTGCGCTATGGTATTTTAATTTCAGTATGGTTTCGAAATGTTATTGAAAAATTTACAATAATTAAATTTATATTGGTTTTATGAATTGATTATTGAACATTTTAAATTGTGGTGGCCTTATACCATGAGATTACAGAAAATTAAATTTCTTCTTCTAGTAAAAAGAATTCTGAAGTGATTAATTAGTTAACAGCAATTTGAAGAGATGGCAGCACCATAGAATCTACTTGAGTATATTAAAAACCCAAAACAACTCCAATAAATTTAAAACAAATACGATCCTTATAATTTAATGAACTTCTTTATATTCCTAGAATGTAAATCCAGGACCATTTTTGTAACTTATAAAAAACTGCAAAACAATTAGAGTTGGGAATAAACTTAAAAGTAATCATAACTTGGAACAAATAAATGAGGATGAAGTAATTTGAAAGGATTTTAAAGATTTGAAGGAATATTTTTCACGCAGATTATATATTATTTTAGGGTTTAATTTTCGCTTCGTTTTTCTTTATAATCATCTTATCTATTTTACATTCATTTAATTTTCTTTTCAATCTCAAAACTTATGGATTAATAACCGATTTGATTTTGGTCGTAATTATTATTGAAGCTGTGGACAATTTAGGTCGAAGAAATTTTTTTTTTATTATTTCAGGTACTTTCTATAAAAAATAAACTTACAATATTCTCAAAATACTTTTTTCAAAGAATAGTATTATTCTGTCATTAAAGAAATTTTCATTCATAGTTTTTGTTATGTTCATTGTTTGAGGCACTTAAAATTTTTTGAAATTTTATCGATCCGAATTATTTAATCTGTTGAAATTAAATTGTTGTATATTTTTTAAAAGTTAAAGTTTTCCTGTTCGATTTTAATATTGATCACTTATAAGTGCACATAAATATAAGAAAAATATTTATTTTATTTATTGAATTACTATTTTTTCTAAATCACTCATTGAATTGTTTAGCAACAAATAAATTCTTTAATACCATTATTAATATTATTTTTTGTTTATTTTATGCAATCTCCAAAAGAACTCAAAATATCAGGGACAATTTTGCGGGGGAGGACTAATCCGTACTCTTTCCGCTGGGTTTCAACTTCCATTAATCGGGCCCCCAGAAATAGATCTGAATAAAATAAAACTCGTTTTACAGGCGACAGTATTATAAAAATTACATTGACTTTTCTTATTTACGTTTTAAATGCATGCAAAAAAAAAGGAAAAAAAAAAGAAAGAAAAAAACAAAGAAAAGAAAAGGGAGATGAGACGACAGCATGAAAAGCTCAACTAGGTCATTTAAGTCAGGCAAAGAAGCTAGTTATACTTTACGTATATTCAAATACAATCCTAATCTAGTGCTGAGAATTAAACCTAAATTGAGAAATAAACTTCAACCTCTATAAATTAAACCAATACCAAAATATTGCTAATTATTCTTTAAAAACAAATTATTTATTGTGTGCCGTTTATGAATAAAGGTAAAACATGAAGGAAGAAGAAAAAGGATAAATGATTTTACATAAACAGACATACGATCGATCGTTTCGGTACTAGAATCACCTTCTTTAATGTCGGAACACAGAAGACAACGGAAAATGTGCTTTATTATAGTAGCCGATTCTGGTTTCAGCACTGATAAAGGTGTTTTATCATGGTGCTAAAACAACCATGTACCTGTTTATTTGCTATTATTTGAGATGTATTCATATTATTTTACTTTTATATTCATTAAAATCTTTGTTTACTAATTATAAGCGTTAACAACTGTGTGATACTTACTTGGAGAGTTGCATATTAATTTGATAATGATTCTTATTTAATTCAACATTCCAAATAGTTGACGATGATGCATTAGATGGAAGTGATATCACTAAAATATAAAACAGAATATATTCACAAAGTATTAAATTAGAAATTGGTTACAATCACATAAAGTTATGATCACTCGTATCGAGGCAATTCCATTAAAAGTCTGCTTTGGCAAAAATCCCCCATCTTTTTTTCCGTTTCAATCTATTGAATATAACTAGCACTCACATGCTTTCTTTCTCTCTTCGCAAGTTATCATAAATAACGATTGAATACGTAAATTTTGTTATTCGTGAAATGGCGATATGTTTTGAGAAAAATTTTCCATTTCTAAAATTAATTATTTCTTTATTCGAGTATAACTCCTTTCTGTAATTTAATTTTTTTAAATGATGTTTGACAGAGCCGTATTGACTCAGAAGATAGAGCTTTCATCTTCCAATAAGCAGAACCGGGTTCGCATTGCAGTGATGGCTGGGAGATAGGATTTCCGCACCCAACTCGCACCGACCAAAGTGCTGATGTAAAATATCCTCAGTGGTAGACGGATCACGGGTTAGAGTCCTCTTGCCATCAGGCTAACCGTGGGAGGTTTTCGAAGTTTGGCTTTCCATGTACGGCAAATGCGGGTTAGTTTCAACAAAAGTCCTCCACGAAGACAGATTTCTCCCAATACTTGACCTAACAGTTCCCTTGTTTTCTGGGTCGGGTTCAAAATTACAAGGTTACGAAATTGAATACTAGTAGTCTTAAATCCAAAATTGGGTCGGCTGTTCAGAGACGGTTATATATAATAATGTTTGACAGAGTTCTGGTAGCTCAGAGGGTAGAGCGTCCGCCTCCAAATGAGATGAACCGGATCTCGGGGCTGGATGACACGAATTCCGCACCCGGCTCGCATCGTTGACGGATCATGCGTTAGAGCCCCCTTGCTGTCATTTTAACCGTCGTTGGTTTGCGTGGTTTTCCTCTCCCTGTAACGCAAAGGAGGGTTATTTCTGTCAAAAAGTCCTCCACGAAGCCAAAATTGGGTCGGCTGTTCAACAATGGTTGTAAAATAAAACATAATATTTGGCATATTTCTTTGAAACTGTACTAAGCAAGCCTGTTTATATGTCACAGAAACACATACATGAATAAATTGAGAAGCTAGTATCTAATTCCACTGATCCCATATTCTGAATTTATATGCAACCATATAATATTAATCTTTTTAGAATTAACTTATTACTATTTAATGCAAACTTCTAGGATGGTGGCATATAACAACTAGATTTCCAAATAGAAACTATACGAATTTTATAATAAGAGCAAATTACTTTTCTTACAGCTTATGGCTGCATCACATTTCATGGTTTTTCTTTCTTCTTTTTCCAATTCATCCAGAACTGCATCCACTATAGGCACCATCATGGCTGTGGTTGCTGTATTACTGATCCACATTGAGAGAAACATAGTTGTCACCATGAAACCTAACATTAACCTGAAATTAAAACTCACCAAATTAAATATTTCATGTAAGTTATATCAAATTAATGCTATTATTAATGTATTATGTTGCCCAAAATTCTTTTTATGAAGATACTATAAAAACAACATTAATCTCATATGTTGTATACACATCAGAGTTGATATGGAGTGTGTTCTTTGCGCAGCACATTTCATTTATTTCTATTATAAAATAGGAAACAATAAAAATTGCATAGAATTTAGTTTATTTGGTATAAAAACCCATTTCAAATGTTATTTGTTTATAATTAACAATTATCAATTTATTTCTTATGAAAAATTTGATATCAAGATAAACTCTTTGGAATTGATTGGAATTTGGATTTCTACAAAATTTCATTTCTTACGTGTTTTATTCTGTTTTGTTCCCTATTTATAATGCTTATAACAGAAATTTTATATATTGTACGAAAACAAACGTATAACATCCAACTCACCACCGAGGTCCAGTACCTATGAGCAGCAATACTTTCAAAGCTATGCGTTTATGCAAGTTGCAGTGCTCAACGGCAACAGCCAAAGTTAAGCTGCCTACATACATCATTATAGTATCCTGAAATAAAAGAAAATTTAAAGGTTTACTTCTCTTGATCTTTTCTTAAATTGTCAATCCTTAAAATAGTGACACGCAATTCCCCTTTTAGTTGCAACTTGTTTGAAAAATGGAAATAGAAAGTCAAGTTTCATCGAAGAAAATGGGGCTAAATTCTTACCTTGATAAGGGACATTTTAAGGTCAAGTATTCACCTCGAAAATTTTAACGCTTTAAAATTTTCTATGACTGTCGAACTTTAAAATGATACCCCTCACTTACCATTTGAGTCGTAACTTTTTTTCATGCATAGCAGTAATAGTTACAGTTGAGTCGTGGTGGCTCAGGGGATAATAGAGCATTCGCCTCCCAATTAGGAGACTCAGGTTCAAATCCGAGCGGTGACATATATATATATATCTATTTTTGGCTCAACTATGCATAAATTTAAATAAAGACATTTTTCCTTTAATCTTCGTGGGAATCACTCGACCTCTTTCTTAAACCAATAGTAATTTCTAAGATTTCCCTCTTTCCCTAAATTGAAAAATTTTACGGATTTACTTTGCAAGAATTTCCCTAACATATAACTAAGGGGCGCAACTTTTCGTGTACACATTTTCATGACTGCTCTGTCTAATAATTAACAAATAAATTTTGCACCCTCCTTCCCTGCCTTAGACCTGTTTTAATCCTTCCACTCAGCAATGGTTATATATATATATATATACACTACCGGTCAAAAGTTTGCGAAAATTTTGAAATCTCCAAAAAAAAGTTCTAAATTCAAATGTTCATAGAACTGCGAAAAATCATTCAAATGGCATGAAAATTTGATATGTTCTAA